CATGGCCCTTACAATCATCAGAATGGCTCTTGTTAGGTCATTAAGGAAAGGAAAGGATTCCAGATGATACCTTCCAAATAAAATGTCTTTTTCTTCAGGCTGGAGAGGTACCTGTTTGATTTTATTAGGCACCTAATTGGTTTTACATTGAAAGAGCCATATATTTGTGCCTGAAACAAGGGAAGGAAGGAAATACTCCATTTTAAAACCTTCCAGGGCTGACAGGTAGTATGGAGGTTAAGGTGCTGGACTCCCATATGGCCAATCACAGTTTGAGTCCTGGACATGGCAGCTTGCTTTCTTACTTTTCTTATCTCTCTCTGATCAAATTATGAATAAATAAATTTAAATAAGTCTTTAAAAAAATCAAGTTTTCAAGATGGATTGGATATTTGAATTGTGAGGTGGCCTGATTTTGATGTTACTAGAGACTGCTTTACATATATTGAGCCTTGAAAGGAATTATAAAATATGTAAATTTATATATGGTAATACATATCAGTACCTAACTATATTTGCCTTTATGGACACCATTACATTTATTATATAAATATACACATATTACTTATAGCCAATCTTTTGTTTTTTGATACGAAAATGAATATATGCTACCAGAACCAATCATGTCTGAGAAAGTAGATACTTTGAGGAGAAATTAACTGGAGGACTTAGTCCTGCTCTTAAGAATTTGCCAGAACATTTGTTTCAATCTGTTTGGTTGTTTTATTATAGCTTTTATCATAGGTCTCATGTTTGGCTATCAGTCACACCTACTCAGATTATACACATAAAGTGTTAAGAATAGAAAAACTCTCATTGGAGATCCATCTTTAAAATAAATGTTCAAAACCTACAGTTAGAAAACAAGGAAAAGAAATTGTTAGAAATTATGTTTACAAGTTCAAATATACCATTCAATAAAAAAAGCCAAGAGAAAACAAATGAAAGTCTCAACCTTTAAATATTGTTTTTTAAAAAAGTTTAAAAACACTAGAGACTTACTAAAGTACTTTAAAAAGCATTTGTAAAAGAATGTGAATAACCTGCCTGGAAGAGTTAACCTAGAAAGTCAGTTTTCAATTCTGTCATCAGAATGTCTTTTAAAAAGTTAGATTTCCGGGGACCAGCAGTTAGCGTAATGGTTATGTCGCTGGACTCCCATGTAGTCGATCGTGGTTCACGTCCTGGACCCGGTGGCTTAAAACTCACGCCAGGCGCGTGTGCATGTGTGCCCAAGATCCCGAGAGGGGAATGGAGGAGAAGGGATTGCGGCATGACCATCCCCCACCCCCCCC